AACGTTGAACCAACGTCAGACGCGGCATTCTTCAAAGCTAAATGAAAATCGAAAATTGGTTTGCTTTCATATTGTTGAAACAACGCGTTGATTTCAAGTTGATTTTCCGTTAGTTTTGAAAGAATGACGCGTCTGATGTTGGTTCAACGTTAATTCGATGAGCAAAACTATGTCAGATCAACGTTGTTTCAATGTCATATTTCCACGTTGATTCAATGTCAGTTTGCTATCTGGGCATACTGTATAAGAGCTAGTTCTTCTGACCATGTCTTTCTTTTTCCTGAGACCATGTGACAATGATAGGCCTGAACTTTAATTTATTGGCAAAGTTACACATTTCAGAAAGCTTTTCTGCTGTGTCAGGATGCTTCGTTCCCATCAAAAAGCCTATAAAAGAAAATACTGCCAGCACTGAAAATATGTACCAGGAAGCTGATTTAGATCCTTTTAATACAAGCAGTTGTCAGTGGACGGAGGTTTTAAACAAATCCTTAATCAGCATTTCTAGGTAGAAATGTCTTTGTACCGACCTCACTGTACTCGCTCATCAAAACAAAACAAAACAAAACAAAAAGTCACGTCATAAAAACTCTCACGATTACTGTTAGCTAGTAGTGCTAGAGCAATCATAGCTAACTGCTAATTGCTAACTTCCAACATTAACCGTTCACTTGTGCAGCGATACGGATATGAATGATAATTTAAATCATGTAGCTATTTGTAAAGAGGTGTGTCAGACTTACATGCTAAAATATAAGCAAGTAGCCTAACAAACATTTTAACACATACTGTAAGCAACTACCGTAACTAGCATTGTGACAGTCTTGCTACTCACATTTTCTCATCAAGTTCACAATTGTAAACAAATTGCCGGCATAACTATTGTTTTAATTATTGTAAATAACTATTAGCTAAAAGTGTGCAAGAGCTACTCCCCAGATGATAGCAAAATCCAGGAGACAGATTGAGGACCTTAACGTATTGAGATTTTAGATTTGGTGGAATAGTCCCAGCTCAATCCCAAAGCTCTCCCTCTAGCTCCCCACTTGCAGATAATAAAGCTTTAGTGTGCTAAAAAGAAACGAGGATGATCAATAACAGCTGTTAGTGGTGTAGATGATCAGCCTGACACCTTACATAAGACAAGTCATAAAAATGACCAATGTAGGGGCCAGTCTCACAGGCATAGATTGATTTCAAGTCTAAAGGCTAGATAAGATTAACCATTAGCAAGGACACGAAGTGGAAAAACTAGCTCATCTCGCACACAATCTGTTAAGAAAGACAAGAGGATTTTTGCAAGTAAGTGAATTGTACTTCAAAGTACATTTTAGTGGGGGAACAAGGACCTGCTGGGAGACAGGTTGTCAAATATATTCCAAATTTAAGGTGATACTCCATTAATTTTATCCTATTTTACACACATCTTCTCTGTCATATCAGGGTTTCCCTCTTTCCATCTCTCAATCATGCCAATTTTTTACCAATTTATCTAGAATCGGCTGTTTCTCTCTTATTGTTTGACTCTTTGTGCTTAAAGCTGAAAGCATGCCTGGTAATAATTTTTTTTATCCAAGTCCAATTATACGAGGCTGAAAACATTTTATAAAAAGCTAATGAATATTTATTATTTATTATATTCCAGAATACTGAACACTGTCAGTATTTTAGGCGACATTTTGTCAAAATGTGCTTGTCTGAACAGATGAAGCAGTCCACAGGTGTAGGCACACTTTTTTTCTCTTTCGCTACTCATACACATACAAGCAAACAACCTCTCTGCGTGAAATATCCTTCTTGATTTCATTATTCTTCAAATAGGAAGAAATGAGACAGGGAATTGGCCCCTTTTCACAAGGCACGTTACAACACTGTCACCAAATGGTGATGTCATATAATTACACCTGTTTCGGGCACAGAGTAGAAATAATAAACACACACACACAGAGGGAGAGAGAAAGCACTGAAAATCTGATTAAGGTCGGATCGCCTTGGCAGCCTGTGTCTTTATTTATTTATCTCAGTAAACACACGCTCACTTTATTCTGGGAATGTGAAGCGTAGCATAATTAGCTGAACATGGCTCCCTAATTGGGCTTTAATTGATATGAAGAGTGTCGCCAGGGCTGAGGCCTCACGTAGCAACACATGCGGCGCGAGTGGGCGTGGCCTAACTGCCAATCAATCCCACTGGCTTTAAAATGTCCGCCTCCAACCAATTACCGAGCGGAGTTCGGTTTACAAGCAGATAACACAGGTATATTTGAGTTGTTGACAAATGTTTATAGAACTAGAATGATTCTAATAATAATACTATCAATGTAGCCTACTGCAATCACTCAGTTTAATTAAACTAATTACTGCAAAGCACCATTTGCAATTTGCGAATTTAAAGTCAGATCTGAGATATTCCTACATGAAAATCTCAGAAAACCGATATAGAAATAAACACAATGGCATTGCTAGCACTTATTAGTACTAACAGAGGAGCTCAATAACTGTGTTTCACATGCAAATGTTTGCTAAATAGCCTAGATTTTATCATAGCAGAGTGTAAAATCCTTATATTAGGCCTAATGTGAGAATTTATTTTTATTTTATCCATTTGAAACTGATTGATCATGAAATAGGGAGCCATATAAATGGAGCCATGTAGTTTTGAAGAACAGGCCTGAAAAGTAAGGGATTTGTGTCATCAGCTAAAGAGGCACAACAATTTAAGTTTTAAACAATAACAACAATGAAGGAAACTCTAACAAAAAGAAAAAGTGATTCGTGACTGACTTCACTACTTAAATTTGTCCAAGTTGGAAATTCTGATTTACGGGTCAAATGGAACATGGAACATAGTTATTTTACTGTAAACCAATGTATGTCCCAACTAGCACACTTCCCTTAATAGTACACAAGCAAGATCAGAACTGGTGTGTCCCAAATCATAATTACAAATAGTATGTCAAAGGTACCTTTTCCAACAGTATGCAAGCTTTTTTTAAATCAATATTTCCCATAACATCTTTTTGCCATGGAGAGTTTGTGACCGTCTATGTATAGAGTTAAAAAAAGAAGCGTGTGCTCGTTCATCGAAATGAACGAATCTTTTCCCGAGTCAATTTGTTCATTTCGTTCGTTGAATCAACCAAATGACAAGAAAAAAGATTAGTTTATTTTGATACCTCAATTTCTTTTCGACTGAAGAAAGAACGACATGGATATTTTGGATGACATGGGGGTGAGAAAATTATCCGCAAAAGTTTTTTTTTTAAAAGTGAACTACTCCTTTAATTTTGAACAGTTTGCCGCCCTGACCAATGGGGACACTTAAGGCCAGGTTAAAGTTCTCTTTTAAGTAGAAAAAGAGGTCCCAGCCTGGGAACAAGCAATAACACTTAAAAGCGTTGACTACACTGCAGAAAAAGAGCACACCTGCATGTCAGCATTGTGGACAGCGAGTTCCTCTGCTCTGACAGTTGCACTGCACTCAGATTCTCCTCAAACGATCATTTAAGTGGCTTCTTGCATCCAGAACACACACCTTCCACACACAGCTGCTTTCATACTCCCTTCGGAGTCAACCGGTGTGCTCTCAGTCTCAATCTCCCGGCGTCACAACCTTCAAGAACATTTGAGTTGTGTTTTGAGGGCCAATTAATCGCTTTCCTGATAGTAAATTAAAAAAACAATTCTCTGTGGTTTTAATAATAAACTCATTAAGCACTGCTAAAAGGAGAGAACTGCCTTTTAATTAGACCCGCAACTGATTAATGCACAATTAACACCTCCAATTTATTCATCTCGACGTGGTTGGGATCCTCTCCATCTTGTTTTTTAGTCTCCATGATAATGAAAAGGGTAACGACAGAGGGCATGACCTTAGAACATAACTGATGTTCACTGTATGAATTATGATCCGCAAACAATGCGGTCCAAAAGAGTCACATGGTCAATGTCATAAATTAGCTTATTTTAGTAGAAACATGTGGCATCGAAAAAATTAATAGAAATTCAATACAAATAAAAATGAAGCTTAAATAAAATAAGACATTTGCTTTAAAGGAGTAGTTCACTTTAAAAAACAACTTTTGCTGATAATTTACTCACCCCCATGTCATCCAAGATGTCCATGTCTTTCTTTCTTCAGTCGAAAAGAAATGAAGGATCCAGGATTTTTCTCCATATAATGCACTTTACTGGTAACCAAACGGTTCAAGGTCCAAAAGACTTGCTAACAGCAAACTGTTCTAAGGGCTTTAAATGATTCCAGACGATGAATAAGGGTTTTATCAAGCGAAACGATCACTCATTTAAAAAAAAAAACAAAGTTTAAGTTTTATAAGCTCAAACTGTCGCCTTGCTCTGTTCTGTAATACGCGTTCGTGACTCTCCTGTTCAAAACTCGTTCATCAAAATGAACGAATCTTTTCCTGAGTCAATTCGTTCATTTCGTTCGTTGAATGAACCAAATTACACGCAAAAAGATTTGTTCATTTTGATAAACCTTGAACCGTTTGGTTACAAGTCCATTATATGGAGAAAAATTCTGGAATGTTTTCATCAAAAAACTTAATTTCTTTTCAACTGAAGACAGAATGACATGGACATCTTGGATGACAAGGGGGTGAGTAAATTATCAAAAAAAGTTTTTTTTAAAAGTGAACTACTTTAATAAATAACTTAACTAAATAAGTTTAGGTTGATTCACTAAAATTGCTAAAAACAAACAGAAATAAATTAAAGCTAAATTGAAATATATATATATATGTATTGATAAACGCTTACAAATCAGAAAATGTATTTAAAACCAAAATATGACTGCTTCTAACAGTCTCAGATGTTTGACCCCACCACCAGACAGACAGATGGACACGGACTCAACTTAATGTATACATTTCATTTATTAAAAACAAATAAAATACAAAAAAAAATAGTTTATAAAGACATGATGCTCTTTGTAATATCACCAGTGCAGAGCATTGTTAGCACTTTTTTTTTTTTAAAGAAAAGAGATGGAAAATTAAAAAAAATCTGTTAAAAAAACTGTAGCACCAAGAAGTAGTGTTGAATTCTGCATTAGCACCTGGGAGTCCCTCACATTAAGTGTTAGCAGAATAAAAGTGCTTAAAGACTATTTGAATCAGGATATTCTGTAATATTGTAGAACACTAATTAAACAATCACAACTGACAACTTGCAAATTAAATCAAACACAAGGTGGATCTTTAAAGTGCGTCTTGTATTCTATAGAAGAACGTTTATAATTCTTACTTTTTTTAAAATGTTTCAGTAATGATAATAATTCAGTTTATTATTGACTATTGTTTATTATCAGGTATCGCGGAATGTGTTCGAGTTAACAATAACAGTACAACACTTTATTATAGGTTTGCGAAAACAAATTTAGTGTTTTTATTCATTTATTTTATGTATTTATTATGTTAGATGAGGTTAATCGTGATTTATTTTGACAACTGCAGGCGACTATGAAAAGTTGTTGAGAAATAATCGGTTGAAGATCCTTTCAACTTTATGTTTCACACTTCGATCATAAACTCTGATGTGTAAAAACCATATTTTGGAGCATCCTTGTCCAAGTACATCTGTGAAACCACTGCCAAATCCAGCACAGAACCTTAATATATCCTGTAGCTTTGTGTCCCATATCCTGGAGAACAGTTACAGGCTTCTCATCCTGGTCCTTGACACCCGTTTTGAGACATATGCTCTGCTCATATATTTGGCTACAAGACCCACGAGACCAGAGTCTCTTCTCTTATGCATTTCCTTACAACCTCTTTCCTCTCGTTCAAGGCACTGACATGTACCTCCTGAAGTCAGGATGAGACTTGTGCTGTGGATGAGGGCAACCTTCACTAAGCGATCGTGCGTGTGCAACCTCTGGGGCCTTCCACCACATATCAGTGGACTTTATTAGCTCTGGCAGGATGTCAGGAACCACAAACTTCTCCGCCAGGAAGACTACAGGAAACACAGCCAATAGCAAACTCCAACCCACCACTCCCAGCCAATAGGACAGTCCAAGTCGAGTGATGTCCTCCTTGATCTCACTAATATGCTGATGGGTGAAAAGCATCCAGCTGAGAAAGAAGAAAAATCCTGTGGGGAGGAAAAAGAAAATGGGGAAAAGGTTAAAACCATGTGCATTACATTGCAAAAAGAAAGCTAAATATGGAGATACTGACCTGTAGGTACTAGTGTGAGCAGTAACAGTGAGGTCGGGTCAAGCGCCTGGCCTGCCATCAGCAGTGAGCGAGTGTTGGAATAGGAGCGCACCGTCTGAGACGTCCAGCAGAGGGCGAACATGAGACACAGCACTCCAGAGCTCACAGACATCAGGAAAGCGACCACAGCAAACACTCTCTCAGCCTCCAGAGCTGTTGAACAAGACCAAAACACATTTAATATACCGCGAATGTGGTGTAATCTGCTCACTAGGCACTAGGTTCACTTTTAAAAAAACTTTTGCTGATAATTTACTCACCCCCATGTCATCCAAGATGTCCATGTCTTTCTTTATTCAGTCGAAAAGAAATTAAAGTTTTTGATGAAAACATTCCAGGATTTTCTCCATATAATGGACTTCAATGGGAACCAAACGGTTCAAGGTCCAAATGAGAGTTTCAGCGCAGATTCAAAGGGCTTTAAACGATTCCAGATGATGAATGGTCTTATCTAGGAGTCTTCGAGTCTCGAAAAAAGATTTGTTCATTTTGATGAACGAGTTTGAACAGGAGAGTCACGAACGCTCATCACAGAGCAAGACGAGCATAAAACTTAAACTTTTTACTTTATTTTTTAAATGACCAATCATTTCGCTAGATAAGACCCTTATTCATCGTCTGGTGTCGTTTAAAGCCCTTTGAACAGTTTGCACTGAAACTCTCATTTGGACCTTGAACCGTTTGGTTCCCATTGAAGTCCATTATATGGAGAAAATCCTGGAATGTTTTCATCAAAAACCTTAATTTCTTTTCCATTGAAGAAAGAAAGACATGGATATCTTGGATGACATGCGTGAGTAAATTATCAGCAAAAGTTTTTTTTTTTAAAAATGAACTACTCCTTTAACATTACATTCAATAATTTATATATAAACGCACACACACTTATTTATATTTATGAACAGTTCATATTATGTAATGTTAATGCAACATATCTTATAGTCTAACATATACTTAAAGGGTTAGTTCACCCAAAAATGAAAATTAAGTCATTAATTACTCACCCCCATGCTGTACCAACCCCGTAAGACCTTCGTTCGTCTTCGGAACACAAATGAAGATATTTTTGATTAAATTTGAGAGCTGTATAACTACCACATTGGCTCCTAAGGGACTGCCTCTTGACGGCCCAGAAAAAGTCAATGAAGAAAATGTTTAAATATCCCAAGTGACTACCGTGGCTCAACTATATGTTTATCAAGCGACGCGAATACTTTTTGTGCGAAAAAACAAACAAAAATAACGAGTTTATTCGACTATTTCTTTTCTTCCCTGTAGGCCAGAACGAGACTTCCTTAGATTTCCATGACGCATGCGCGAGATTTGCGATCTGCTCACACCAGCTTAGATCGCAATTCTCGCGCATGCGTCGTAGAAATCTATAAGGAAGTCTCGTTCTGGCCTACAAGGAAGAAAAGAAATAGTCGAATAAACTCGTTATTTTTGTTTGTTTTTTCGCACAAAAAGTATTCGCGTCGCTTGATAAACATATAGTTGAGCCACGGTAGTCACTTGGGATATTTAACTTCATTGACTTTTTGGGCCGTCAAGAGGCAGTCCTTTAGGAGCCAATGTGGTAGTTATACAGCTCTCAAATTTAATCAAAAATATCTTCATTTGTGTTCCGAAGACGAACGAAGGTCTTACGGGGTTGGTACAGCATGGGGGTGAGTAATTAATGACTTAATTTTCATTTTTGGGTGAACTAACCCTTTAAATCTATATACGTAAAAAATTGATATCTATGTATACTATGTAAGATACAGTAATGCACTAAGTCATGCCTTTTTGCTATCATTGTGTCAACCTTGTGTCATTCCAAACATGTTCTTCTGCTGAACACAAAAGCTATTTCAAAGAATGTTTGTTTTGGTTCCCATTGGGACAAATACAATTATTGGAAGTGAAATGGGAACCAAAACAAACATTCTTTGAAATAATTGCTTGAAATAAAGCTGTTTAGTTCACAACGTTCTTCAAAACACTTCCCATTGTGTTCCATGGAAGACAAAATGTTGACTGTTTCTTTAAAAAAGTAATTTCAGATTGAGTGCTCTTAAAGAACATCACATTGTGAAACTATTTAAAGCCGAACTGATCAGTCATAACATCATCCTTCATCATTTTTCATTTGTCCTGTTCTGAAGAAGAAATGAACTGAGGGGAAAACCAAACTAATAAAACATGCAAATATTGTGAGTTCAACATGTCATGGCCTGTCTGCTGCAGCCCACCGAAGCGTAGAAACCCCTCCAACACAAAACCATATCATTATTTTACATCAACGTTGGAAATTTCAGAAAAATCCAGGATGTTTTCAAAATTCCTCTCATTTAGCTGCTCTGTACTTCTCAGCAGGTCAAAACTTGCAAAAAATGCCACACAATTCCTCTAAAGCTTTCAGCCCCCGTGATCATTCAGACCGTATGATATTTTTAGACTCCAAAAAGCCATTTATCTTTTATAGAGGCCACGTGAATTCAAGTTTCTAAGATCCAAAGCAGTTGTATAAAATGAATGTGGGCCACATGAGGGCTAAAGAAATATTTCTGTCCCCCAAGAGCATTTAGACCAAAGAGCCTCGGAGGCTTCATGAACATATGGTTTTAGAGGGGGCACTACACTCTAAAAAATGCTGGGTTGTTTTAACCCAATTTTGGGTCAAATATGGACAAACCTGAAATATTGGGTTAAAAATGTAATGTAAAAATTTAACCCAACGGCTGGGTTAGTCCATATTTGACCCAAAGTTGGGTTAAAACAACCCAGCATTTTTTAGAGTGTAGTGACAGTCATGATTCACTTCTTTCCTAATGCGAGATAAAATATGCCCAGAAATAAATAAATATATATGTATATTGAATGACACTTGTGAATCTCTTTCATTCCCAAAGGTATGCGAGAAAAGCAGACGCATCACACACCTTTAGCAATGTCATCGGTGGAGCCGCTGTTGTCCGGCGTGGTCTCATTCCCCGAGGACCACAGACCGCTGCCATCCAGCCATTGAGGTGTACAGATAGCATAGCAGATACACAAACAGCCCATCAAGCCAAGACATGATTCAATAAATCGAAAACGACTCCTCGAGTCCACCAGTTCTGGTCCATGCATTGCTCTGATGATTAAAAACAAATAATGATTGAAGATAATATTAACTGAACTAAGTTGAAAACTGAACTCAAAACAATACAGTTGTTAATCGCTGATGGGTTTCCTTACCTTGAATGGCTGTGAAGTCTTTAAAAAGAGTTCAAATGATTTGATTCCATACAGTACACTGACTGTATCAGGTTCAAATATCAAATGAGTGAGAGAGTCAGAAACAAGAGATTTATGAGGATGTAAGGGCACGTTCTCACTTCCCCCTCACGATGCTGTAATATGAGACTGTAAAGATTTCCCTCTGCCCACAGTGGAGACCCACTCGCAATGGAAACTCCCCCTTGCATAAACACACACACAAAAGTGTTGAGCGAGCGGTTAAATTCCCCCAGAAACCCCTGTGAGTCAGTGAGGTTTGGAAAGTGAAAATGATATTTTATAAATCAGTCTACAGTGCTCAGAGAAGAATATGTAGCCTATATTTGACTATACTTGCATTAAACATCCAGAACTGGATTATAAGAAACAGATACCATCACAAACACACGTGTGTGTGTGTGTGTGTGTGTGTGTGTGTGTATGGGGTGGTGATGGGGCAGTGGATAAGACACATGCCTTTGGTGTGAGAGACCCAGGTTCGAATTGACTGTGAGACACCAATGTGTCCCTGAGCAAGACACTTAACCCCTATTTGCTCCAGAGGCATGCGACCTCTGACATATATAGCAATTGTAAGTCGCTTTGGATAAAAGCGTCAGCTAAATGAATGAATGTAAATATATATAACCAATTCTAAAATAGGGTACGTTTACACAGCGATGTACTAAAAACGGAAACGTTTTTTCCTTGCGTTGTCAAAACGATCCCCGTTCACGCAAAGTTTAAAAAACCACAAGTAGGTTATAACTGGTGTGTTTTATGTCACTGAACAAAACATGAAAATATTTAGAGGTTTGTTCACCACAGACCTTATTTCAGGCGGTTTAACAAAAAAAAAACAAAAAAAAAAAAAAAAAACGATAGACTGCGTCTGAAATTGTGTACTATGTGAGTAGGTACTATATTTAAAGGTGCCCTATACTGTTTTTTTTTTTATTATTATTTTATAATGTTTCCTGGGTTGCCCTTATAATGTTAGTATGTTTTTTAGATCAAAAATAGTCATAATTTAGAAATAAAAGGCATTTTTCCTAGCCAGATTTTAGCCTCTGCTTTGAACACTCTGTTTGAAGGGGCGTGTCTGCTGTGTGTAACCGGCCTCTGCTGTGATTGGCTGACATGCTTGCATATGAAATAGCTATGTATGACATGTGAAACTCTCGAATAATTTTACTACAGCTATTATAGGTTTTTACTATTACAGCTATCGAGATTAACGAATCGTGAGATGTTTTTGAAGTATTTAGATCTATTCCCATCACATAAAGTGTTGCTGTGATTGAGCAAGCAAAGGACAGTGAGTGTGTCGATCGCGAGAATGAAGATCTTATCATTGCAATGCAGTCTCTCTAACGTTACTCTCTAATGCAGCAGACACGATGATGTAAATACAGTTAACGTTAGAGTTTAGTTGTGCAGAGTAACGAATCGGTTACCTAACGTAACCTCGGTTCTCTCTAGATGAGGGAACGAGTATTGCGTAAGCTAGCTTACGCTACGGGGAAAGATTCATCTTTGCTGAGAAGTTGAAGCCAAAAAATTTTTTTTTTTCATCCTACTAAAATAAACGATGTGAAGTTGATTTTTAATCACTGGCCTGACTTACTGATACGATTTTAAAGTGAAAGATTACCTGTCTGAACTTGAACACCACATCAGCTCGATCCGAGGCCAGCTCTTGGCAAGTTGAGGAAACAAGTCGTCGGTGAAATGGTCGAAAATTTCCAGAGAAAATAAAATTAATCCATTGTTTCTTCAGAGGCTCGGACGAAGGAACTAAAATATACTTTTGTATTCGTGTGTAGATCCGAACACTGATCAACTGCCATGCTTCGACTGCGCAGCTCGTCTGTCACTGAACATGGGCTGGCATTATGCAAATATTTTGGGTCATACATATTAATGATCCCGACTTTTACGTCAGAGTCGGTATTATGTGGAGATTCGCCCGTTTTTCAGGGGTGTTTTTCAAAAACGAGATTTAAGTAAGAAGGAGAAAACAATGATGTTTGAACTCTTGTTATTTAACTATGCCAACATAAATTCAATTTCACAGTATAGGGCACCTTTAAATAAGAACGTACTTCCCGACAGTTAAAAAAGTTTGCTCTGTATAGTATGAATACGGGTAGTTTGAATGAGTCCAGATGTACTACATGCGCCATGTTGTTGTCGCGTGACATACGAGGTCACAGCAGTGCGAAAATTTAAAGAGTCCATTCCAGTGACTGCACCAACTTCGCAAGGTTTTTAGTTCTCATTTCTGTTGTCATTTGCGTTTTTACGTCGTCCGAGCCGACGTAAAAACGTCTTTTTGGGGAATTTCACAAATAACATTTATTTACCTAATAAATTGTACCTAATAAAACACACACACAACCTCTATGAACAATGACAAACGTAGATTTTTGGCAAGGAAAAAGCCATTTATTCGCTTATGATATTATCATCGATAAATACACATGAATGAATCATAGATACGCGAGATACGCATTTATGTCTGTGTTTATCTTCTAACATTACATCTCCGGTTACCGCCGTTTTCAAATATAACGACAACAACTCATCTCCCATGGCATCATGGGATAGTAAAGTGTCCGTCGTATGCGCACTTCAAAATCTCGCCGGAAGTAGTAGGTCATCCGGGTACTTTTCGCCTACTGTTTTTCGAATTCTATGATTTCGGACATACTACTCTGCTCGCGTACTGTTTTTCGCAAACTATATAGTAGGGAAGTATTCGATTTCAGACGCAGCTATAGACGTTAGAGTGAGGGAACCAGAAGTGCTAAAATGCTAACTCACTTCCGCGTTTTGGCCTACAAATTGACGTCAAAACTTCGGTACTCTATATATGCATGCACATGGCGTCGCAGTTTTCACAAATTTACGTTTTTTTGTTTTGTTTGTTTACACAGAGACTTGCACTTTCAAAATGTTTAAGTTTCAAAAAAATTTTAAGTTTAAAAAAAAAAAAAAAAAACTAAATGCATCAAATTTTTTAGTTGAAAACGGTAGCATGTAACGGTTCCTCAGTTAACTTTATTGTCATAGTGGTGACACCAGAGGCTGAACCACAGTGACCGTGGACGGACCTGTGTCGTCACGGCAACAGCTAAACGGCACAGGAAAGAACAGCTCTCCTCTCTCCAGCAAGGTGGGCTCACAGGAAACCCCTAAAAATGGTTGTTTCCTGTTGCTTGCTTTCTGTCAGAGCAGAGATCGGTTTTGCCATAGCCTTACAAATACATGCGAGACAGCAGCCTCTTCGTTGTAAAGGAGCAACATAACACAATCAAAATATAATTTAACATAAAACAATTTAATTGACGATTGATGCATTCGTTCAGTCAGAAGCCCTTAAAACATTTAACACCAATGAAGATCTCAAACCAACAGCCTCCAACGATGTTTTCCTTTGAAACTGAAAAACAACCTTGGTGTCAAAAACAAGGCATTTATGTAACAAGATAAGTGTTGGAAAGCAAAGAAATATTTCAAACGTGAACTTTTATCCCAAAACTGAGAGAGTAGTCAATTAAAAAGCTCCCCCTCCCCAACAAAATCAAAAAATATTTAAATCAATTTAGAGGGGTCATAATATACATTTTCATTCCACCTGAGGTTCACTTTATAATGTTACTAACATTTCATCTTTCTTTTGTGTACATTTTGCACTCTCTGTGATACTTAATTAGGCCAGTTTTCACCATTTAGTTAATAAAAGTAATTAATTTAATAAAAGAATCTTCGCAAACCAGCAACAGATTTTTTTTTTTTTTACAGCTCAAATTGTAAATTTTACTGAAAAGTTCAGGGGTCTTGTAAAAATAAATATCTGTCTCTCGTTTCAAATGTTGGGATCTTAACAGGATACATTTACTTTAAAAGCAATAGAATAAAATAAGACTTGATTTTGATTGTATCTTGAATAGACTTTTGTCTTGCTGCACTATCAAATGTAGTTTCACTTGTATTAATGATATATTCAGTGATGCTTAAAAGGATAGATCACCCAAAAATTGAAATTGTGACATTTACTTTTGTTCAAAACGTGATTAAATACCAAAAGAAGATATTTTAAAGAATATCAGTAACCAAACAGGTGACAGTAGCCATTGACTTTCATAGTATGAAGTAAAAAAATATATATATTATGAAAGCCAATGGGGACCATCAACTCTCTGGTTACTGCCATTCTTTAAAAATATCTTCTTTTGTGTTCAACAGAAAAAAAACTCATACAGGTTTGGAACAACTTGAGGGTGAGTAAGCGATGAAAACATAATTTTTTGGGGTGAACTATCCCTTTAATTAAATTCCTCTTGTTTTAAGAGGAATTAAGATGAATATTAATAATGGGATTGTTTTTGCAGTGAATAGCACTGAGAAGCAAGTTTTAGGTTCTGACAATTACAATATATTTACATTTTTTTTAAAAATTAAATTGGTTCCTATTATAAGACCCCTTTAAATCAATTTAAAAACAACAGATTGGATACTTAGAATTTGATATGAGCACAATCACAGGGCCAGTCTCCAATTACAGTGACGGCCAAGGTAATAATTAAAATATAAAAACACCTCCAAAATAACAACACACTCCTATACTGCTGCGGTGACTCTCCACAATTCTGTTTCAATCTGCAATTACAGGGTTCGCAGTGGTTGCTTCTGCAATAACAGACTTTGTCTTTAAACTGTACATAAGGTAAACATATCATTCATTAAAAAAGTATTTGTAACTTGTTTCTACCAACTGTCACTATTTCCTGGCTTTTTTTAGTAGGTCTGTGAAAACATCCAATTGCATTGGGTCCTTTCCGGCAGCTAGCTCAGGCTTGTGCTTCTCCAGCCAATCAGACGAGCGGATCTGCTGCCGCAGAGTACCAATCAGAGAGTCCAGACTCTCCGAGCGGATGTCGGATTGGCCATTTAGAATCACAGAGCTCTCATCAGCCAATGAGACGGGCTCTGCCTTAATGTGCACAGTGTCAAGTTTGGTTTGAACGCTTGAGGACTTGACTGTTTGGTCTTTGCACTCATCTATTGTCTTGGCGTCTTCCCTCCTCGCTGTCCCGCTGCCGTCATCCCGTTTGTCTGTCGTCCGCTGTGTTTCAAGCATCGAAGACCCGTTCTGAAGCTCTTCTAATGCGTTTTTAATCCTCTGCACACCTGAAGAACAGTGATGTGAGAAGAATTAATGCCAATGTCAGATAGTTTGGGGTAAGCTATGCTACTTATTTAAAGGGATACTCCACTTTTTTTTGGAAATAGGCTCATTTTACAACTCCCTCAGAGTTAAACAGTTAAGTTTTACCGTTTTCGAATCCATTCAGCCGACTTTCTGATATTTAGAAGAACATCAGTAACCAGACAGTTTCTGGTCTCATTGACTTCCATAGTAGGAAAAAAACATACTATGGAAGTCAATGAGACCAGAAACTGTCTGGTTACAGATATTCTTCTAAATATCATAAAATTGGCTGAATGGATTTGAAAACGGTAAAACTCAACTGTTTAACTCTGGGGGAGTTGTAAAATGAGCCTATTTACAAAAAAAGTGGCGTATCCCCTTTAACCTTTTATCATATGTCTTGGAGTTTCGCAATAATATCGTATCGTGAGTCCAGTATCGTGATATGTATCGAATCGTGACATGAGGGTATCGTTACACCTTTTTTGGAGACCTTATCTTTCAAATAAAAGTCTTAAAAAAGGTCAACAGATAAATAAAAATATACAAATAAAACAAAAAAGGTGAATTTTTTTTTATAAATATTTGATTTACCTGAAGAATCAAAGCTGTGTCAAATACTTATACAATATAATGCTCTTATAAATACGCTTACAATACCCACTGACACATCTTACCCCACTCCCCCAAACTACATAAGATACTCCAAGAAGACAGGCATTAAAATGGAAATGATATCGGTCAACAAACCTAGCTGTAGTTTGTGCCGTTGATCAGTGAAGATGATTCTGAACCAGCCTGGAGACCCACAGCTGAAGGCCTGACCGCAGCTCAGCAGAACCCTGTGCTTGAGGAAACACCTCCACACAGACAGCTCCTCAGCAAACGTCTTCTCCTTCAGATACTACACACACAAAACTTGTTGAACTTTAAAGAGTTTAGATCCAGACATCTGTTCGAAACGTGCAGCGAGAGGTTATGCTGTGGTGTAAACGCCCCCTGTGAGCTCACCTTACTCAAGTCTGCCCAGATGAAGAATCCCGCGCCCCTGTTCAGGAAAGGTATGTCCAGTTTCTTCAGCTCTTCCGTCAGGAAGATGTGAGCCTCTCTTAGCCTGCGTCTGTTCTCCGGGAGGAACTCACTATTCAGCCAGTCTGGAAACATCAAGAAGTCATAGTCATTTGCTGTTGTGCATGAATCAATTCTTTTGAGTCCGATGGTACTTGACCAGATCCCCGAACGCCGTTCATTCAGTTCGTTGAACTTCATACAGTTCAGCTCACTCAGCACGTCATTTGTGGTTTGACTTATTGAGACTTATTTCCTAAGTCTGTATACGCGAAGTGAACTGTCTTCATAAAGTTTCTTCTTATTAAATGGTCTGTACACTTACAAAGTTCTCAATGCTTCGTTTTGCATGTATGGACCCTCATTGTGTTACTGTGTTAGTGTGGGGCTATTTTGAACCTTGTTAGTGGTATAAAGCAGCAATTTCTTTTTACTTAGTAAATGCCCCCAGTTCTAGCGTTATACGCTAAACAGTTTTTAGAGATAAAACTCTTTAGATTCGATTATCATGAAAACAAATCTCAGAGAATGATTGACTAGGTACCGATGTTTTATTAGACCAAAGGTTCATTGTTTTCCGGAGTTCTTCTTTAATAACTAATCTTGCATTATAGACAGAAAAGAAAATATGGGAACTGTGAATCGTCCATAGATGGAAAATGTTAACAAAGCAAGGAAAAAAAAGTGTGTACCTCTATCTCGGAAAAGCTGGGCCATCTGGTATTGTGTGAGTCCCGGGACTCCGTGGAAGGCGCCTAGCTGATCCAGGGCCTGTACCAAATCTTTGTTCTCCGAGTGGACCACGCCAACTCGCATCCCTGCCATTGCAAAGTCCTATATTTGTACATAACAGAAAGTCTGAATGCAGTGCTGGAATGCCAAGAATCCGAGGAAAGGCTTTTCTGACAGTTCAAATACAGTTCATATTACCTTACTGACGCCCCACATAACATGGGTTCTCTGGGGATCTGGCAACCTGTGGAAACATTTGTGTAGTTTGTGATGATGAATACAAACACACTCAAATGTACCCTTAATAAAAGCAGCCATTATAATAAAGATTAAAATAATCCTTCAATTTTAATTTCATTTTTCAGTGAAGTAGACTTTTAAGTGGTTTGACTTGAATTCATTAAAATATTCAATTTAACTTGACACCTAATGATGTATACTTCAATTTAAGCAAAGGGCATATCAGATAAATATACGCAAGACTAAGTCAATTAGAATTAACAAAACACAGAAATAATAGAGATAGTTTTACTTTATGTGAATGTCTCTCACCCATCCAAGCTGAGAACACTGTGAAAATTGTCTGTCTCGCTGAACACAGAGAGCATGTAAATTTCATCTATGATCACATGAAGCTGGTGCCTGGAGCATGCGAGAGAGAAACAATGAGTAAATGAGTGCAGTTGAGGCCAAAAATTAACATTCAAACGACATGCGTGAACACAAATGCAATTTCTCATCAATAAATGTGCAAGTTAATGAAGCATATGAAAACATTTGGAAAACAAAATGCGATCAGAGACCCAGTTAGTTAGCCAACCAAAAAATTAAAATAGATTTTTTTTAATCGTTAACTCATCCTCATGTTGTTTGAAACCTCCTGCAAAATATATAAAGTGAATAGAGCAGCATCCATGCGGTTTTATTTCTAAATGACAATGATTCGCCTGGTACTTCTTTGACCCCGCTCTCACCGGTTCCACAGACAGGGCTTATATTAAACCAGGATTAGGCCTTAGTTCAATTAGGACATTTAAGGAGCTTTAATAAATGTACCATAGAAAAAAAAAAAACATCACTGGTTTTGCATCTTGAGACAAAACAATGACACTCTCATATTTTAAGATATGTCAGTGCAAGTTGCTTTCAGTTAAAACAGCTCAAAAATGGATTTTAGTCTGGGACTAGCTTAGACGGTGAAACCAGGGTTAAGTGCATTCAACATGAAGCGGCGCTGTGCAGACCAATTGGCGCATCACATCAAAGCACTGTTAAGAGCGATTAGAAAGGAGACGGCTCCACTTTACTTTGATATCACTGTGCAGCGCCACTTAGAGTCAAACACACCTAATGGTTTTAGTTCAATGCTTGTGAGAAACTGCTTGAACTCACGTTTTGGCAAATTGTAGAAAGCTGGTCATCTCCTCAGACGAGTACATTTCTCCAAGTGGATTCTGGGGGTTTAACAGGATAAGGGCTTTGATGTTCAATCCCTATATAAAGAAAATACAATTTTAAGAGATCCATACATTGAATTTTAAGTGTGTATATTTGCTTGTATCTTTTAAAGCAGCACTATGCAGGATTTTCGATGTGGAGTACTTGCACTGTCGTAAATAGCACTCACGCAGAGATGTGTCTACACTCATGGCCTGATCCCCTCCCACTGTATACCGCTACCTGTTCAGTAGGATGGAAGCTGTAATGTGTGTAAATAAGGTGTGGCCCCTTTAAGAGCTGCGCCCTGTTGAACTGTCGGCAGTCTGTATTGTATGTGTCTCGAACACCGCATGTATATGGCGCCGGGTTATTTCTGTTTGATGCTCATTTTAGCAGATCTTTCTTGCCGTAAAGCAAGTTGCAAGTGTGTTTTTTCCGTTCACAGGTAACAGGGGGGCGAGATGCCCAATATTTAACTCGAAAATAGTCACAACCATTGCAATAACTCCGAAGCTATTCAGTTAAGGTAAAAAAACTGCATAGTGCTGCTTTAAGTTAAAGTGTCTTTATTAAGTATTTGAAAGGCTCCTAACTGTGTTATGGAGGTCTCCTACAATAGGTTTAAATACATTAAAAGTCAAAAAACACTTAATAATAACATAATAAACAATGCACATCACCTCATTTCTCAGAGACTGAAAATGGTTAGTTCGAAGATTCAGTCTCTATATATTCCTCCTTTCCGAGCCTACTCTGCTCTGATTGGTCAGATGACCCAGTCTGTTATGAACTTGAGATTGGTTTACCAATTACAACGAGTGTCGTAAATGAAACGGCGATAACCATATCTGAATTTCAGCTCCGGATCTTACTCAGCACTTGATACATAATGATATAAACCATAACGACGGGGTCAATTACAATGCAAGATCTTTTGAACTGCATGCAAAGTGGATTAGCAGTGCTAAAAATTACCTTTTCGACATGTTGACAACACAAACCTAACTCATCCAGGCTTCAGCTTCAGTGTTTGTGGGTCAAAGTAAACGTTGCTCACAGGTAGCCAATGAGAACCATAGGCTGGCATTATGCAAATGTGTTATATTATTACATACGTTTGTAACAGGAAGAGAGACTGGAATTGCTGACGACTCGTTTCGGCAGTTTAGAATCTATTCCTTCTTTTGGGAGACAATAAATGCATTTATCGTGCACTTTGCAGGCCGATTACATTCACAAACAGCGATATTAAACACTGCATGACAGGTAATATTCGAAAACGCATAATATGAGTACTTTAAATCAAATAACCTCTTTTTTGGCATCTTTAAGGGAGTTCTCCAGTTTCTCAACAGTTAGCTGGAAAGGTCTGACATCACTTCCTGTGAGCTGCACAAACACAAAAACAGAAAGATAAACAGAATAGCCACAGGAAACAAAAATAAAACTGAAAAGCACTATAACATGTCAGTGTTACATTATTAAATCTTACACCTGAGCTTTCGCTAAGCACCTGATTATAAAGTGGCACATGGTGTAGTATGACACCGCTGTACAAGCCTACGTCCTCCTTTATAACACCATAGAAGGGCGACGGGATGAGAATGGCATCTGTAAAGCAAGCAAAAAGGCCTTCAATTTGTATATGTGAGATTGATGCAATGTTAAAGAAAATCATTGAAATGGAGAAGTTGAATTCATTCGGTTGAGAAAATCGACTGACAGTCCCAAAAAGTAACCGGAAAGTGCTGTGTGAATGCATAAAGCGAAACTAACATGGCAGATGCATGTGTGCAGAACTAGAGTGCAGTAAAATGAAAGTTGCAAAATGCAATCGTTTCAGGGAGTTAACGCCTGTAAGTACTTTCTGTATGAAGATATCTTACACAGAAATGGCAAAAGACTGCAGTGAGTGACGTACAGGACAGGAAACGCATCAGCAATCGGTCATGTCACCGGCCCTGATGGTTATCAACCTAATTGAATCTATTTGAACCAAACTGAACAATTACTGTCTAACCTGACAAATACAAGTGCCTGAAAGTGATTTAGAGTTGTTCACTCTGTCCCCTGTGGTTGGCAGAAGTAGAAACTAATGTGCAAAATCCCCTAATAACTCAATACAGATTCAGTTCACATAATATAAAACAAAACAAAAGAAGTAATCCACACACCAAAGTTGTTCAAAGTCCAAGACCTATTGAGAAAATGTTAATTTACACGAGAATATTGAGTAAAACATTTTGTTTAGTGTGTGGATTCCTTCTTTTGTACATCTGTAAAACAAGCACACAACTTCAGGTAATATATTCAGACACATATGGTCACTCATTTTTGTTTAATTTTGCTCAATTTTGATTTCAATGTTTACACAATTACTAAAAAAGCTGTTTTTTTAAATAAAATAAAATATACATATTTTTTTCAAATCAATCCAAAACTCTGTAAGTACTGTAGAAATTGTTTATCCAATGATTTCAATATATTTTGAAACACAAAGAAGAACTAACATTTTGTTATTCGGCAAGCAGATAATGCTACTGGTCTATCCTAGTCAATTTAAAATGTCTAAATATGAATGGTTTAATTAGCCTGGCCAATATACACTACCAAACAAAAGTTAGGGGTCCGTTCCATAATAAAAAAAAAAAAAAAAAAATTATAAAATAAATAAATTATATATATATATATATATATACACACACAGCAAAATGCATTCAATTGATCAAAAGTGACAGTAAGGACATTTATAATGTTCCAAAAGGTTTCTATTTTAAATAAATGCGGATATTTTGGACTTTCTATTCTTTAAAAGAACTTCTGAAAAACAAATGTTTAGCAGCACAACTGTTTTCAACATTAATAAGAAATGTTTCTTGAGCAGGAAATCAGCATCTAGTATGATTTATGAACAACAAGTGACACTGAAGACTGGAGTAATGATGCTGAAAATTCAGCAATTCATTGAAAGAATGAGATTGAGAAGACAAAAAGTGCAGTTATTCTGTAGGGATCAGAAGGGTCTTATACCTTCTGGGTCACACAGCGTTGCTGCCAAAGCCGAGAACAGAGACCCACAACCGTTCATAACAACAACCTGCAAAACAAAAAACAAAGAAAAATGAGCTGACAGGATCTCTCTTTCTAAAGAAAGAGGAAGACTAAAAGAAATAATATGGATGGTTTAATGTATCATGCTGATGTGCACAAAAGCAGAAAAACACTCACATTCTCTGGTTTTAGAGGTTTGGGAGAATGGCAATAGTCTGACATGAACTTAGCAACTTCCTCTCGAAGGCTTTAGGAAAAATAATTAAAACACAAGAACATCAATACTGTGAAATAAAAAGCACTTGATTTCAAGGAATTATACACAGTTTCTACACAGTTAAGGGTAATGTAAGCTTACAAACTGTGGCCTTTCCAATCGTGGTATTGTAAGAAAGCAGGGTCAATGTGAAGCATGTCAGGTCGCATCAGCTGTCGGAGAAACCAAGAATCACAAAGTGCAACAAACAATGAAAAGTGATATCCAGGCAGTGTGACAATTCTTTATATTACTATGCATGCAAAGTGAGATTTTTTTAAGGGCTTTCATTTTGTAATAGCACTTAATTATTCTTCTGAATACAATGCAAATGGCACGTGCATGTCCAAAACTTAATAGGGTGGTTGCTAGGACATTGGTATGCTGTTGCTAAAGTGCTCTGAGTGGCATTTAGCTTGTTTGCATTCATGGTATGCGGTTGCTATGGTGCTCTGAGAGGCATTCTGAGAGATATTCGGTTGCTAGGGTGTTTTGGGTGGTGGCTCACTGGCTAAAAGAGCATATACCCAAGACACAATGATATTGTGATGTTACGTATAGCTCACATTCTTTCTCTAATGTAAGGGAGTGGTTACATGACACGGGTTGTGTCCAAAATTGCCCCCTGTAGCCTTAAATGGGGCACTATTTGGGGAGACAGCCATTTGTAGTCGTGTGTGAAACCAAGTGGATGTGGACGTTATAGAGCGCACTCGTTCAATCCCACAACGCACTGCCAAAACGAGTGTACAACCGATGTACGTTTAACAGCTAGAGAATACCCATAATGCACTGTGAGTCACGCAAAATCCCGTGGGATTCCCGTTTCCGACCAGAAGATGGCGCCCGCAGCAGAATCATCCATCCATTTTTCAAACCGCTGGTCCAATGTAGCTACAGCGTCATATCATACTGTTATAAAGCCCTTATTACATTGCTTAATTAAGGTTTAATTTATAGTTAGTTTCCATGACAGAGTTAAAGTTAAATCTTTTCGTTACTACTGGAGCTACCAGTTTGCAAAGTTTCAAATTATAAAAAAAAATTTAAACAAACTACGCAAAACTTTGTCCAAATTTGTCCGCACACTCACTCGTTTACATTCATTCCCTCTAGAGAACTATATAAGTGGACTAATGGAATAGTGAATGAGGGGAAAAAGAGGGCGATTTCAGACACAGTCAAAGTTTTCAACTAAAATGTTCAGTTTATAGTCACATAGCAACATGACATCATGACTTTTGCGTAAACATACACGCCACTTTCAAGTCAAGTGGCGTTATCTATATGCATTTTGAGCTATCAGCGTGTATGTCTACGCCATTAATGTCTGAGTGATTACGCGTGTATGTACACGCCATCGAAGCAAAATGTAGATCTACCTCTGGGGAGTGATATTTTTTTTCTTAGGATGGTAGGGGAAGACTCATAAATGCTATTAACCCCAGTGACTGGTAGTTTTGGGACAGGGTTGAGGTAGGTCATATATTTATATATACAGTAATGTAACGTTTATATATACAGTAATGTAACGTAAGTAAGTCAACGGCATTCATAAACACGCTGAAAAGCGATTATGCGTGTTGATAGCACGCCAAAAATGGAAATACGAATTGGCGTGTCATACAAACGCAATTTCATTTACAAAGTGACATCGCCACCACCTGGCCTGGCAGAAGTATACAACATTTTGTGTCATTTTTGAAGAAACCGTGTTAACGGGATGAGTTTGCCAACATTATCACCTGTAACTTACGCAAATCTTGTGTATATATAAATATATATATATATATATATATATATATAAACGTTTCAGTTTTTAGTACATTGTTGTCGTGTTTTAAGTTTAACAGGTTTTATTTACCCACTTTGTTGTTCACCAGACAAAAAAAAAAAGGAACGAAAAAGGATCTTCGCTAATGAATGCAAAACAAGTAAATCACATCTCTTACCCTTTTCTGTAGGAGGTCAAAGCATAGCTTGTTTTCACTGGTTCCCAAGTTTATAATGCCCTGAAATAAACAGTATCAAAAACCACAGCAAATTACCACACAGCAGAAGCTAGACAAACACACACACAAAAAAGTGTATTAAAATGAGAAAACCACAGATTTTCCTAGAAGTCCCAAGAGACTTGTGGCCACTGCGTCAACCAAAGAGACAGAATGAACTAAGTAAGTGACTACAGATGGGTAGTTGACATGAAATGTAGTCATTTGTCTTGATCTCTAATTTAAGCAGATTTTATGAAATCATTAAATAAGACCTTACATGGAATTTTACCCTGTAATTGGAATATTGTTTTAAAAATTCATGTCAAACTGCAAGACGACTTCAAATGAACTAGTTAAAGAAAAAGATCATTAAAAATTATACCAAGAGGCCAGGAGCAGAAATGTTCTTTTGAAATTCAATTTTGAAAATATGAAATCTTCAATTAATTTAAACTAGGTATAGCCCCTCCTAACTAGTTCTTATACATTTATGATTTACTACAATGTGTGCCTGCACTGTGCAGTAAAAAGTTTTTTTTTTTTTTACACCTTTATATACTTGTCTATATACTAAATGTCTTTACTTTCATAAATTGAATGCATCACTGGTGTGTGTGTGTGTGTATATATATATCTTACTGCCCACAAACTTTTGAAAGGTAATATATATACTCCTCTATCTATCTATCTATCTATCTATCTATCTATCTATCTATCTATCTATCTATCTATCTATCTATCTATCTATCTATCTATCTATTCGATAACTAATCAAATCGAACATAAAAGTTAGATTACATATTTACAAACTTTTAAAGGAGTAGTTCACTTTAAAAAAAAACTTTTGCTGATTATTTACTCACCCCCATGTCATCCAAGATGTCCATGTCTTTCTTTCTTCAGTCGAAAAGAAATTAAGGTTTTTTTTGAAAACATTCCAGGATTTTCTCCATATAATGGACTTTAATGGGAACCAAACGGTTCAAGGTCCAAATGAGAGTTTCAGTGAAGCTTCAAAGGGCTTTAAACGATTCCAGACGATGAATAAAGGTCTTATCGAGCAAAACGATCGCTCATTTCAAAAATAAATAAAAAGTTTAAGTTTTATAAGCTCAAATGCTCGCCTTGCTCTGTTCTGTGATGAGCGTTCGTGATTCTCCTGTTCGAACTCGTTCAACAAAATGAACCAATCTTTTTTCAAGTCATTAGATAGGACCCTTATTCATCGACTGGTGTCGTTTAAAGCCCTTTGAAGCTGCACTGAAACTCTCATTTGGACCTTGAACCGCTTGGTTACCATTGAAGTCCATTATATGGAGAAAATCCTGGAATGTTTTCATCAAAAACCTTAATTTCTTTTCAACTGACGAAAGAAAGACATGGACATCTTGGATGACATGAGGGTGAGTAAATTATCAGCAAAAGTTGTTTTAAAAGTGAACTACTCCTTTAAGTCAGATGATTTGACAGCACATACATATATAGACTATGACATTGTTATGCAAATAAAAATGCATTAAATTAAGATGTAAACTTGTAACATTTTCATTCAATTTTGAAAACACTGATAATGAATAATATTAATAAAGTGGTACTGTTTCCAAAGAGACTAACATGAGGGTTTGAATTCTCGTCGTGTTTGTTGGCCTGATACTGGTTGTAGCCTTCCTGCAGGATTCCCTGGTGCAGCAGCATGCTGTTTCCACGGCGAGACAGGTACGGGCTGTGCTGGGGTGTTCGATCACCCCAAAGCATGTTGGGTACAGCTTTGGCACTGTTGGGTATCAAGGTTTGTGAGGAGCTGGGCACAGGGGGCATTTCCCTGCTGGTGGTGGCGCTCTGGTCTTCCGTCCCACGTGCCGAGCTCAGGACCCTGGTCAACATGGACATAAGACGAAACTCATGTTCTCTCTCTTGCTTCGCTCGTCTCTCCTCTTGCTGCTCCCTCCGTTCCTCAGCCCGTGCCTCCTGCCGCATCCGGGCCTCCTCCAGAGCGAGGAAGCGCTCTTCTGCTGTCTGTTGCCAGCTTAGATACCCAGCCAGAGCGCTCGATAACTCCCCATCTCCCCCGCGAACCACCCGCCGACGTTTCCTCTGATGGAACGATCCGGAAACCTTTTCCTGATCACCATGGCTACCTCCGTCTCTCATCGCCATGGGAGCAGTTGCCGGGGATACACCTGCACCGGAGGAGCCAGTCATGTTCTGGTCACTGCAATCTGTGGTGTGATATATTAAAGAAACAAACATTAAATCAGTCCTGTTTAAAGTAAAAAAAAAAAAACTCATTAAATGATAACATAATTAAGAATTAAACAATGCTCTCAAAATTCTATTAAAACGACAGTTGGTGTGATAGCATGCCAATGCTGTCGAGAACATCTGTGGTGCTGAAAGTAAGGCAATGGATAACAAACAGTGCCAACAGCAGACACAGCAATTCACAATGCATATGCACTGTTAAAGAGCACCTATCATGGATTTTTGAAAATGACTGTTCATGTGGTGTGGAATATAGCTCTAAGGGAATGAAAACATCCTGCAAAGATTTATATCTGAAAGTGCACCGTATATAAAGTTATTGTCTTTCAAAAGTGAGAGTCGACTCTGAGTCTATGAAATGAATTGTTTTTGAAACGAGCCATTAGCTGTTACATCGTGACGTAGAGAGGTCATTGGCCGCTCCCAACAACTTCGCTTAATCAAATGATCCGTTTCAGCATTGATGATGATAAATGTTTTGAGCCGCATATCAGAATACTAAAATGATTTCTGAAAAATCACATGACCCCATCACCACCATTTAAAAAAACTATATTATGATAGAAATCAATTATTTTAAATTGTAATATTTCACAATATCACTATTACTATTTTTTAATCAGATAAAAGCATCCTTGTGAGTCTTTTTATCATGAATTAATAGAATAGAGTAGAATATTATAAACTAGGGCTGTGAAACGATTAATCTCATTTAACCGCATCCAAAATAAAAGTTTGTGTTTACATAATATATGTGTGTAGTGTGTATAATTATTTTGTATATATAAACACACACATGCATGTATATATTTAAGAAACATTTGCATGTATATACTTTATATATATATTTATACAAAATTAATATTATTCATAAATATAAATATTTGATATATTAATAACAATTTTTTATTAAATACATACATGCATGTGTGTGTATTTATATATACAAAATAATTATACACACTACACATACACATAATATGTAAACACAAACTTTTATTTTGGATCCGCTTAATCGTTTCACAGCCCTAGTAGTAGGTCAATTACATAACATGCCACCTATCAGACCTACTGCCTTCTCAAATAACCCTTATTATTGAGTCACACTCATTTATATCTTTCTGCATTATGCAACAAGTGCCTGTGTATACACTACATCACGCAGATGATGTTTGGTTGCTTTTGCACTGTAATCCCTGAATCGCGCATCCATACACATCCATGTTTGTTTATCTATTCATCGACAGATTGTTTATGATACCTGAAGGGGAACAGATGACGTGCGTGTTTCCCTGCTCTCCGTCCATCTCAGCGTGTTCGTCTGTGTTTGGACCGGCGTTTTTGTGTTCAGCACCGGCTTCATCCTCCTCATCAACAGGTCCGAACTCGTAGAGCATCTCGGGAGGGCCCGCCGCTTCATCATCCGAGCTCATCACCTCCGTCTTGATCTCCAGGATGTCACCTGCCCGGGGCGGGTTAGTCTCTGACCCCTGCAGTCCGATCACCTGGTTCGCGACCGAACCGCTCCACAAAGGCAGGGTAGAACCCGAGGTTGCGGCTGATCGGTTACTCTGAGCCCTCTCCATCAGCTCGTAATACCTCGCGGATCTCAAAGTCTTCTGTTTGTACTCAAGCTTCAACTTTTTGATCTTCTCCCTGCATTGGTCCCCGGTCCGGTTGATGCCCTTCTGCCGCAGAGTGCTGGCGATTCTGTTGAACACATGCTGGTTTCTGAGACAGGTTACCAGCTCGGTTTGGACCGGCACGTCCGACCAGATCTGCAGCAGCTCCAGTACCTCTGGTTCGGACCAGTTGCTGCCGCGTTCGTACTTTTTACCGTACACGTGAATCAAATGCATCGCAGCACTATAAATAAAGCTACAGTGTTATATTTATAGGTTGCTGCAAATATGTTCACGCATTGGTACAGCACCGCGTTAACGTGACTAAAAGCAGATGCATTAAATTATTAAAACTCCAACGTGTGCTACTGTAATCAATCATCTAAAACGAGAACTGGTAACCTACTTTACCCAGACCGGAACCAGATTCCTTTACTTTCTAAAACAGTCTTGATGCATTTTCAGCTCGATGCTTTTGTTCTTTATTCAAACAAGTCCTGATACATCCGGGTTCACGGCACATGCGTGCTGTCCTTATTCCGGGATAAATTTGGACCGTGACAACAAAGAACGGCGCTGCGCATGCGCTGAAAGAGGCCCATTGAGGAGACTCACTTGTTGCTCGGGCGCGCCATCTAGTGCTGACATTAGCATTTTGAGCCATTTCGAAATATTTATTCACATTTACTTTATTGACATTTGTGAATATTATTGTACTAGACAACAACAAAAAATTGCATATGTTATAATGACAATTAAACTATTTTTCCTCATTTTTTCCCTAATTTCTTTAGTTTTTTTTTAGTATAATCTGGATGTATTAAGGAACAGTTGAATATTATATTAACCTTACAAAGATTAATATTGTAATAAATATAATGCTTTTTGTTAGTTAATGTTTGTTAATTAATGGGACATTATTGTAAAATAGCTACTGAATGTTTTCTCTTATAGTGATCTTTATTATTGCATTATTATTATTATACCAGAATAAATAAATGTATTAAAACAAATGTGATGATGTATCAATAATTTAAAATTAGATGTACCTTAACTGTTGTGTCTCTGATATTGCTCCAATTGGATTGCCTGTGAAATATAAAATTTGTTTTTCACCTCCTTTTCTAAAAGAGATTGAAAGTGTGATGTAATTAAATCATGGTTTAGTATTTTAAGGGAGATGCAGTAACCTGAGCAGCCCTTTTCATTTATTTTGTTAAATATGCTATTTTATTTTGTTGAGATTCATAATAATAATAAAATTAATAATACAATTATTCATTTGATATCTGGGGCATTTCACTCCTTGATTATATGAACTATAATAAGCCTGTGCATTTGCATTCATTCTTCATTTACATTTTTGTGATAACTTTGGCAATAAAAAAAATAAATTAAAAAAGTTAAAGAAAAAAAAGAATAATAAAAAAAGAGCTGCAGGGACTAATAAAATCAGCTTGGCAGGAGTAGAGGAGGGTCAGCAAAGAGGAATCCTTAAGTTTTTATTCATGACTTGCATGTTACTGCTTTTGGAGTAACAAATATTGGTAATTAACTGTTCAAACATAATCTAATTTATGTTTGTCAGAGCAAAAACGATTCTGATGATTACATGTAGCACTTGTTCCACATTGAGAAGGATCCAAATGTAATATATATATATATATATAATTACATTTGGATCCTTCTCAACTTGAGGGTATAAGTAAATGATAACAGAATTATATATATTTATAAATATATGTAAATGATAACAGAATTATATATATATATATATATATATATATATATATATATATATATATATATATATATAATTCTGTTATCATTTACTTATACCCTCAAGTTTATGATTCATAATTCACTTTCATTGTGTTGAAAAATACTCCCAAAAGTTCCTAACATTCCAAAGAAAATAAGTCAACAAACAAATATGTATAATGGCAATAATGGCAAACATTTCATTGTCAGAAGAATGTTCATTTTTGGGTGAACTCTTTAAGAATTGCATTTCGACGCTAAATACATGTCATTGCATTGAAAGAGCTTTGCGGTGAGGTAAAATAATAATTATTTTATTAAAACAGTGTGTCTGAATCCTGCAGATGGAGCCCGTGAATAGCAGACCACGATTAGTCCAGAAGCCTCATACCATGACGTACTTCCTGGGAATTGTAGGCCATTTGTGATTACTAGAGATTTGTGTACGGATGTATCCCGTTATTTCTATAGAACAATAAAGCAGACTCGACCGATGACACATGACACCGTCACAGAGGTTTTCATTTCAATTGCAAACATTTAGATAATAAGTATAGCTTGGAGATGAGTCACAATATTTATAAATAATTAAAATAACGGACTACATTACAGGAAGACGCGCGCACTGTTGAAAGTTTCATCGATCTGCGCGCGCTCGCCGCGTGATGCTGAGTTGAGTTCGCGGGGTGTCGCGGATCGGCGCGAGCATACTCCGTTATGGTTTTTCAGTGGATTTACTTAAACATTTCTGTCGTGAATGGAGTTCATTCCGGAGCTGTATAGAGAAATGTGAGCCCGTTACCGGATTCCGAGGCTGTGTTGAAGCGCAATGACAGCTCGGTCTGTGCTCGAGGAGGGGTCAACGGTCTCATTTCTGAGGTAACGTTAAATGACAGTTCGTGTGTCGTCTTTATTTACGTTAATCTAATAAGAACGGGAAACTGAGGTGAAGTTAATGGTAAGAAAGTTTTGATTTATTAAATTTCTACCATAGTAACATTAAGCTTTTACGTTGTCCAACTTCTGAGAGACATTTATTACAATTTGAGCGAAATAATTTGTGGGTTTAAAAAAACAAAACATTTTTATTCATTCGTACAGTCTTTTTGTGTTTTTGCGAGTTGCAAGACAAATCGACCGTTAAGTTTTGCCTTAACGTAACGTTACACATTTTGTTAAACTGGTCTGATATGCATTATTTTGTAATGTCAAAACAGGTGACTGAAAAAGATAACGTTACTTCTCTCATAAATGATGATTCGGTCATCCTACTCACCCGAAATAATGTTGTTCCAAACCAATTGCCTATCATGACTTTTTTTCCCCCTCAGTAACACAAAAGGAGGAGATGCTCGGCACAGTAATGGTCACCGTTCACTTTCATTGCTCCTGTTTCCCATACCACTGATATGAATGGTGACTGCCCTCTTTTTGTCTTCCACGAAAGAAAGAAAGTCATTCTAGCACATAACAATATTTTAAACTGACTCAAAATCCTTCAAAGATTTATCATCCTATATTGCACGCCCAGTGCTTTCAGCGTAATTGAATGATTTCCGTTGGTCTGACTGATTTACGGTCCACGCGAGCACCTTTTAACCCGTGAACCCAATGAAAATTCATAGCGTTCAGTGCAATAAATAAATGCAGTGTTGAGCTATTTTTTCTCTCGTGTAGTTCATATGATGACTGTGATAATCCTCAGAGTGTAATAGCATTATTATTAAGTGTCTTTTGACCTCGAAACATTCATTCTTTTTGGTTTGATTATTAAACCTGTTTTTTTGTTTGTTTTTTTACCCACATGGCTTTTTTTTAGGACAGGCAGTGTGGTCATTTTCTGTATTGGTCCACAAAAGAGAGGAAAGAAAGAGGTAGAGATAAACAGTATTTGTTCGCTGTCTGTCACTCTCTAATGAGTGACTAAGCCCCTCAGTTCCTGCCCTTTCCAAGCCATCATGGATCATTAAAGATTTAGTTGTAGTTGTTTTTGTGAGGAGTTATTAAGGCATAGTAATTACTGTTCTTTCTTCCCCAAAGATTACACTGTAAAAATATGGCCTTCCTAGCCAGCATACAGTAGCATTGCCCAGGACTTCGCCTCTTGCAACCATGCAATCTGTCAGATCCTCAGAGACAATTAGACAATCATACTCTCCATTCGACTCTTTAATGGGAGCTCAGAGTCATTAAATATGAAAAATAAGCCATTTGAAGTGTTGATTGACATTGATGGCCCGACCTCCAAAATGTTCTACATGACTGGCTTTGCATTTGAATGTCATTTTGGCTTTGTGGCCTGTTGAAGCACAACGGGAATTCATGATTTACTGGAAATGCACAATTGTTCAGTTCTAGGAAGGCTGTTGATAACCAATTATTGTGATTGTTTCTGGTCAGTGTTGCGGTTGCGATGCAATTACCAGAATTCCCTCTGGACTGGTTCCACGTTCTGCTTGTAAGCTAAAAAAAGTGGTTTTCTGTGTTATTTCCAACACACAAAGCAACACAAAGATCTTGTCAGACGAAGAAAGGACAAGCCACAAGCCCTCTTTGTGTGTCAGAACAGCAACAGACTAGGAATCAACAGCCTTTCTGTCACATCTTACATATGTTGTGCTCTGAAGGTGAGCCCTTCCTTACCTCCAACATTTATCCATTAGAAGATGCTTTCTCGAGTGGCAGCATTATTAAATTAGTCTTGTCAAGACAGGCGAAAGATTGAATAAGGGGGATGGTTAATCTGAAAGGGAGTTATTTGACAATGCTGATAATGGCTTATGTTTAAGAGTGCTAGAGGCGGCGAATAATTTTCCAAGAGCTGACCTCTTATCCATTACCTTTTGTAGACTTGTCTGCTGCTAATTGACCCAGTCTGCTTAAAAGATATATCGTGGTGCACGATATATCGGCTGCCGATATGGTACATTTTTTACACATCGGTATCGTTCTGATGTTAAAATAGGAGATGGTTCTCACTGCAGAACATTAAATCCACGGGGAGGAGTCAGATCCAGATCCAACTCCACCCACCTTACATACACTTAAACCTACTCAACTCCGCCCCCTAATCCCTAAATCCAGACCTAATCCTACCAATCTCCACCCCTTGGATCTTGATCCGACTCCTCCCCGTGGATCTCATGTTCTGCATTGAGGTGCTACTGCAAAATAGGGTAATCCTCCACCGATCTACCAATCACGGAGTCAGTAGTGTTGCAGCATCCGGGTTGACAGCTCTAGTTACCACAGCTGAAGCTACAGACGTGTCGGATAAAAAAAAAAAAGTTGAATCCTGCAGCGTATCTGGCAACCTCGAGTCTGGGGGGAAGGGGATACACCGCTCTACAGTAATTTGAAAGTGATTGCAGTACCAGTTTTGGCCACAATCTTACAGCTCCTTTAATGAATTGAGTTGAGTATCTTTGAGTATACACAATGGTAAAAGGTCGGAAGGCCGACTTTTTTTATATACCAATGTTTGTGAACTGTGCTAAAATAAAGGCAACGTTATTTTAACACAATTCACAACTCTAAAAAGTTCCATTATTGACACGTCCGATTCGCGAACTAATGACTCTTTTTAACCGATTCACTTTAATGAATGGTTAAAACAACTGATCTGTCCAACACTGAACTCAAGAGACATAAATCGGAAACACTTTACAATAAGGTTCTATTTATTGAAGTCTATTAGTTCTAATACATTACTAATGTATTACATTAATTCTAATAATATTTGTTTCTGCGGATTTACTCCATGTCAAAACAGCTCCAGTCATTCTCGAATGATTCATTCAAGTCTATTCAAGTCATCTGGTGAAATAGTTTTTATATTGCAGAAAAATAAAAAATCGCAATGACATTTTTTTTTTACCAATATCATGCAGCCCTAATCCTCGCTATGCGTTTTTTATACAGAGATATCGGCATTGGTAA